TTTTTTTAAATGACAGACCCAGGCATTAAAAACTTTATGGTTTGCTAGAGTAGTTACCGAAATAGCTATTAATATTAGTTCTTTTACCGGTTATAACTTCGATATACGATAAATCGGTATAAAATCATCACCGGCACCTCTAGGTGTGGTTTGCGTCTACGGCTGCATGTATCGCGTGAGCGACTAATATTAAAGAATGCGCCTAATATATCTACATAATGGATTGTTAATTTATAAAACATTATGTAATTAAATCATCCATTTCTTTGACCACTCGGGGTTAACCCAGTTGGAGATTGGATGCAAATTAAGAGTCCAGAGTGCTTGAATCCCTGTGGTGGCACGTACTCACATATATGATAAATACAGTAGAAGTGCTTAGTTTGCATGGCACGTATGCCAACAGTTCGTGGAGTTCCGCAAACTTGAGCTCAGTCTGCCATTTTCGCTTTGTCTTAAATGCCTTATCGCTATGATAGCCGTACTCATTGACTTACAATTATATGGACGTCGGGTCCGCGCTAAAAAGTGTCCGCACTTGTAAGGCGCTAAAATCGTATACAGAGCGCCAAACTCCGCTTTAGTCTTCATTTGTTCGACTGACAGCGCGATACTGCGATGACATTACAATTTAAATTTCGAATAGGTTGACTTGGGACAATTTTTTCGTGGTTTTTGTATTAGACCCGTCGTCCATTTATTTGTAAGTCAATGGCCGTACTTGAAATATTATAATATTTCGTAGTATTATTACATTTTTTTGTATTTAATTTTAACAAATTTTTAATGTTCTGTTTTTAGTAATAATTTTTTTTTTGTTTGGAAACGAAAGTAAATCTTATACCGCCACAATGCGGCCGCTTCTTTTTTGAAGAACTAGTAAACATCTCGAATGTCGTCGTTTATCTATTAACAGCTAGATGTTAGGACATTGATTGAAATTTGATTAAAAATCAAAAGTTCGTACCTTGAAATAATAGATATTGATGGTATTCAACTTTCAACGATATGCAAAGAGGGTAAAGTTTAAAATATATTAACAGTCCAGAGTTTGTTATTTCTTTTTAAATTTGAAACTACGAATCATTATCAAGATTTCATAGACTTCAAATTTTGAATGTGTGAGTTCGGCGTCAGCGGTTCTGATAGTAATCGAGGCTTAAAGCACTTCTATTGCTTTTTTTTCTTCCAAGTAACATACATTTCCGAATGTTAAGTCAAGCAACATCTCTCCCTAACAGTGAAAGAGAATACCGTCGTGAAACGTTGATAACGATTTCACGCATTAACTGCATGTAGTCGATCTTGGCTGCATAAAGTCGATGTCGACTGCATGCAGTTAATGCGCGAAGTCGTTATCCGAGACCTCAACTGCATGAAGTTAGTAACGACTTCACGTATTAGAGCGGTTACACACGGAGACTTTTAGCAGCGATGCAAACGCGATACAAACGCATTGCATACGTGACACAAACGCGGTCCATTTAAATTAATGAACTAATTTATTTATTTACTGTTATTATTAATTTCACTTTTAAATTTACAATTAACAAAACAAAATAATGTGCACAAACCCGTACAGATTTTTCGTAGATAATTATTCAACATAAGCGACTGTATCATGCATGATGCAATCGCCTATAAATCGCAAGTGTAGCGATGCAATTGCGCGTTTGCATCGCTGCTAAAGTCGCGGTGAGTTACCACTCTTCGTGATACACAGCCGTAAAGAATTGGTTTAGAGCGATGATTCCCAAAGTGTCCACTCCAACCTACAAGGAGTCCTTAGTATGGCCATAAAATATTCGTTTATTAGCGTGCTAACATGAATTCGTACCCTAGTTATAATAAAGCCACAAGTGAAAAGTGCTCTTATATCTTATATACTGTTCTTATATAAAAATAACACTCACTACATGAAACTACGTATATATGACATTGTTTCAACTTTCCTATTTAAGAATAAAAAGTTATCGATTGATTTCGTTTGTGGAATCTTTAAACGTTTCTCCTGAAAAGATGTCATTATGCAGATGTGACTTTATTACAACAAGGATGCGAATTGTAATAATAATAATTATTCTCTACTTACAAGGTAGTATAGTAATTGCACTACTATTTAGCAAAATAACTGAACTAACCGGTTATGAAGACAGTCACTTAATATGGGTCTAAAAAAATTAAAAACAAAACACACATAAAGGGTTCCGCTTCAAATTTAACATAAGTAAACATTTTTTTTGTTGATGTATGTAATTGAGACCCTTAATATAGTTTTCTTATATGGTTTTGTTTGTATATTAAACAAGTTTTATTTCTAATCTCAATAGTTTCGAAGATGAATTGTAATGGAAGTTTTCAATATTTATGACAAAATGGTCTATATTGTCTATAATGTATATATCAAATACTATTTTTGAATACCAAATATTAATTTATTAAGCTTAAACATAATATTAGTACGACTAAAAAGTCGTTGAAAGACCAAGTACAAAGACACGACGCAAGCACATAGAAAAATTCGTGAGGTCCGTTGGTTCGTTCCGTGGCTTAGTTGGTATAGCGTCTGGCGCGGTATGCAAGAAGACGTCGGTTCGAATCCGACTGGATCGAAGGAATTTTTTCTGAGTGTTTTCCTGAGTGTTCGATCTTTGTATTAATAATTATAATATTAGTGTTACCTTGAATGCAGTCCACAGATCAAGTAACAGAACAATAAATACTGGTTACTTAGCGTCTGACGCGTGCCATCTATAGGTCCCGAGAGACCTACTTGAACTCATTCCGCCATTTTCCACTTTGTACGGTATGGTTGTGTATTTCTTTCGTGCAAATTCTTTAAAATCGTAGAAAAATGCCTTATTGTGGTGTTTTGGAGTGCAAAAATGATTGCATCACCAAAAATATTACCCGTAGTAGTATTTCAAATCATCGGTAAGTCTTACTTTAATAAAGTTTCAATTTTCTGATTATCTTTTCGTTCAGACGTTAATCGTTCGTCGTAGTCCAGCTACGGGCCGCAAGATGGCAGTATGTTGAATAAAATTTCAACATAAAACCAAAACGTCGTAACTTGCAATAAGGGTGTTGAACTTTCAACGATGTAGCGACTGGGCAAAGTTTCAATTATATTAATAATCTAGATTTTGTTGTATCTTTTTTAAATTAGAAACTATGACCAATCATTATCAAGATTTCATAATGTTTATCATTTCGTTTTTGTGCGTTTTGCCGACATCGATTTCGATAGTAATCGAGGCTTAAGGCATTACCATTATTTTTTTCTTCCGTAACTAATACAGACGAAACAATTTATATGTAACCTCCAATGGATAACGAACCAAATGTGGATGTGCAGAACCTATTCCTGTTGTTGAAATTACTAGATATAAGTGTAAACGTATATCAGACAAAAAAATATCGTTTATTTAAAAGGGAGCACATTTACAATAGATCAATTATTTCTTTGAGGATCAAATAATATTATTCCTTTGTAAAATACTAACAACCTCGCCTATTCCATACTTCTAATAATTCAACACATTTTACTTTCATATAAAAATACTTTTTTAAGTTCCGACATTTTTTAGATCTGTATTTGTTTGTAAGGTACTAAGTTCAAACGTGCAAGTGTCGTCAGGGGTGACGACACCCACCCCCGCTCCTGCGTTTTGCGTCAGACTGGTAATACTAGCGCTTTCTTTTGTTACCGCACAGAGTAAAATTTATTATGATGTTAGTGTTTTACAAATAACCCTGTTTAAGTGAATAAACATAGTTTTAAAGTGCGCATTTTGGACCCCTATACTATTTCAGCGATAACATTCCTGATTATTAACCAGGTATTGGATGGTATCTGGGTAAACATCCGTAAATGTTGCGTAATTATTAACTTTAATTTGTGGTATTACTTAATATACATTATGTATAGCATAAGCACAATGTAAAGAATTTAGAATGTGGTATAATAAAACAAATAGTGTAACTCCAGTATGAAAGTGGAATGAATGCAATGGAGATGAGATTTTTAAGGAAAATTTGTGGAATACAGTTCAGTGATAGAGAGAAGAATACAATGAAACGTGAAAGATGTGGTTTGAAAGAGGATGTGGTGGCTAGAATAGAGAAAGGAAAGTTGAGGTGGTTTGGGCATGGATGTAAGAAGAATTACCAAACAGAGTTATGATGCGAATGTGAATGGAAGGGTTTTAAGAGGACGTCTCAGAAGGATTTAAATGGCTGGGATCCGAAGTGACAAGAATAAAAAGAAGTTGTATGAAAAGCGCGCCCCGTCCTAAAGAAAGTCCAGTAGGGCTAGCGCGATAGGGTGTGGGCTAAAAAGGGCTAGCGTGACTTGCGCAAGAGCGACATAAAGATGGATATATGTATATATAAAAGCACTGGATCTCTGTGCGAGTGTAGATTATATATCTATCTATATATATATCTACACTCGCACAGAGATCCAGTGCTTTATGTCACTGTTGTGCAAGTCGCTTCTTGTCGTGTTAGCCCCACAGGTCAAGAATACTCTTAACCAATGAGCCGTGATATCTTGCGAATATCATGTTTTGCCAACATGATATTTTGCGAATATGTTATTCAACGACAGAGGCCATGTATAAGGTATGAATGTAAGGAAGCCATGATGGTCTAATGGTTTGACCTACCGCCTCTTGAATAAAGGCCCTGGGTTCGAATCCGGGCTCGCATCTCGTTAGTTTTTTTTTAATTTAAAATGAAATTTATCATAAAGCTTCTCGATGAATTAAAACCTCGTGTTGAACCCTGTTCGTCGAAGAAGGTTCATAACCCTTGGAAAACATGTGAAATCTCCAACCCGCCTAAACCCTCACCTGGGAGGAGACCCGTGCCGTTGGTGTATATAAGCATTAATTCGTCTTGATGAAGCAAAAGATGGGGTTCAGGATCGAAATAAATAAGCATAAAAATAAAAAAACGACAACTTTTAGAAAAAGAATAATTATCAATTATCATACCAAATTCCTTGAACAGTAAAACGTCTGAATATCACTTATTTAATTTTGCCCATAAACATAAATTACCACTGCACTGTTACAAACTGAATGAGTCAAGTTTAAGATGTTTACTAAAACAATAACGTAAATTGAAAATTTGGAAAATATTGACCGACAATGAAAAGTAAAATAATGGACGGATTTGACAGATGTTTAGATTTAGATCTTTTTGATAAAAGAGTTATAAAATAAGGAGATCACAATCTCGCTGATCTTCTTCAAAAAATTTCATCTATCAGAGAGACGACTTTTAGGTTAAGAACTCACGGAGCGGTTTCCACCCGCGCCCGCCGCGGCTGCGGGGCAGCTCTTGCAGGTATACTCGATTAAGATGTTTGAATTAAATATTATAAACGATAAATATATTGAAATGTATATTTACAAAGGTTGCTCTTGTGGCCCTAGAGCTTTTTGCTCATTCTTCTCAGGGACATCAGCCTTACGAATGAGCAGTAGAGTTTAATCAGTATGACAATTTCGAAGTAATCTGCTTAGGTACCTATGCAATACATAGATGATTTTACTTTGAGTTTGAGCTACAGATCGTTTCTTCCCACCTACATTTATTGTGATTACTCTCTTGATTTCACTCTACTACCTATATTTAATACCAAACGTAGCAAAGTATCGATCACGAATGATCAAAATCCTCGACATAAATTAGCGAACCGTAAAAAGTTACTATCGACCATTCTGCTACTCGTCCTTGCAAATCTAACGAGTACAAACTCGGTGGGTCTACCTCCTTTAAAAGCTGACATGACAAAAAGCCGTGGAAGTGACGACGCCGAAAAACGACTCCAGTTCCCAATAACCTAAGCGGCTGGAGGGACCGGAGGATATCTAGTTTATCCTCTACTAGCTCTCAAGCTAGTGCCGGAGATGCCAGTCGCAGTGTCCTGCGACAATGTCCGGACACAGCTTCCAACTTACAGGGCAACTCACGTGCCCCGCACGTCTTCTCGCTTCAGGTCTTCAACTAGACCGGTACTAAGACGCGCTAACGCGCTGACACAAACAAATATGGCCCTCTCTGCAGCTAACCACAAACCCCAGCGAGTCCATACCCAACGCCAAAGAAACACCAACGCAAAGGCGTATCACTGGCGGAGGGCTTGGCATGGACGCCCGCTGTACTCTGGTCTTGCCGTCGAACCCGTAGTCTATCCGGAAAACCCTATCTCTCGGTTCGGTAGATAGGGACAATATGACGATAATTGAATTATAAATTTATCTCAGACCCAGAATTACAAATTTCTTTTGTTTCACCTTGTCGTACAAATATACTTCTGAATTCTCCTTCGTGTAGAATGTGTCGTTCTTATAACAAAATTAATAATTACTTTTCAACTGGTCTTGACATTTTTAATGATTCTTTCTATAAATCTAAATGTAAATTGCGTGTTCCTACAGCGTAATAATTTATTTTCATCATTGTGTCTTTTATCTTTCACAAAATATTTAATTAATACAATTGCACTATCATATTTAAATCAATCAATTAACTGAAATTTTGTTGCATCGATAAAAAATTGGATTATTACTATTTGAAGTTGTTTTTGTTTTATTTATTATTTTTATATCTGGGTACTTGCTGAGTGATGTGGATTTGTAATTGGCTTACATATGAGAACTGTGCCTTACCAAATGTTTTTTTAACCTTATTTTTTCTGTGTAATCTGTTGGTGTTCCAAACGAATAAATAAATAAATGACGATGATGCGTAAATATTATTAAATAAAACAAAATATATAATAGGGTGAAATAAAACGAATAAATATATTACTTTTCTTGTCTAGTGATTTATTTAACAGCTACAATCATATACTTGAGTATATTTACCAACATTTTTAATAGCAACCTGTCTACCTATTAGGTAGGCTCTTGAACAAGTGCAAATTTAAACTCCATTGCTAAGACTTAATATACATTGCCGCAAAACAGAATGGCAGCGAAATAATTAACTCTACGTCTGTTGTGTAATGTCAAAAGCAGATTCGAGTCAAAAAAATTTATTGCGGCATTTTTGCCGTCAGTGTGCGCTTACATGTAAAGCCGGGTACTCATTAGCCAGTTGAAACTGTAACGTGACAGATACAGTAACGAGGTTCTAGAGTGTACATGTGAACCAGTCTTCACTCGCTAGAATGAGCACCTGGTTATCGTCGGCGCACTCCGGACCGCACGCGTTCCGCTCGTGGCAACACACACTATGATTTTTGGTAACGTAACATGCAACGATTATGATTACAGCTTGGTAGTAAGTACCTGGCTTAAAGGCGGTTTCGCACGCCGCGCCGCCCTCAGTTGTACAAACAAACCCGGTGTCACCACGGGCCGTGAGAAACCAGCAGTCGGGCATTTACTCGACACGAATTTCTTCGTGCTCATCCCGGATTGCCGCCGCGCAGCGACCGCGTGCGTCTAACTGTCATGGCAAAATACGCTCTATTCACATAGATTTTACGTTTTAACTTAAATGAGCGTCACGCGGGCGGGCCTGGCTTAGCGGAGTCCGCGTTGCCACCCGCTCGGGGACTGCGTATTTTGTGTTATTATTTGTTATATTGTATTATTCAGAGGAATTTAAATTTTGTTGCCTGGTAAATAGAATTTAGATTCGCCATTAATGCACACAATGGCGTGGTAAAAACTTTCGCCTTGTATTAACTGGGCGCTAAGAATGCCGAAAGATCCCTTGTAATGCCGTGCTATCAATCGGTGCCGGGCCTCATACTATCAACATTAAGAGTCCCTCGCTACTTGGACCTAATTTCATGCATTCAACCATGTTATAATACAAAAAATGTAAATTACATGATTTTTGTTAATGTTGATAAATGTTGTAAACTTAATGTTATTTACCGATACGAATTATATAAGTATATATGTGTGCGTGTGTAGTTATATACACGTCATAAATTGAACAGTGAAAATCAACTTAATTATATAATACATAGGTACAATAAGTCAAAATAGTGCTTCAATTCCATTAAACAAAGTCAACCAATTCAATTATTTAGCTCCAGCAAACAATAGCCCTGTTAATCAAAGTCGAAAATTAAACGCCAGGACGTACAATTAACTGGTTTCTGTGTACTGTTGAATCCTAGACTGACTATGATTTAAGTCTATAAATTTAAAATACTTTACAGGTAATAATTATCAATCTGTTTGTAGTTCTCGTCTTCAGCGAAGCCCAAACTGTCCCAGAAAGACCTGTGACCAAGATCTGGCGTGGATTTCATCGCAAAGACGCTGGGTGATGATATCTCTATGTACTTTAACTCCTCGGGGGTGGCTGGCAGCCACTCTGGGCCTTGACGATTGCTGCTAATCACTTTTGGTTTTCTGTTTCACAAATAAGTGCTAAATCAATATAAAACAACGACAACATGTTTGTTTTTAATAAAAAAATTAATAAAAGTGGACATGACAAAAAGCCGTGTTAGTGACCCGTTTAGCTCTTGCAGGTAGTCTCGAGCTATGATGTTTGAAGTAAATACTGTAAGTGATAAATGTGCACAAATGTAAAAGTATATTTTTGTAACGACAGCCTGAAATTCCTTTAGACTTTTCTGTTCAATGCGTAAAAAGGTTCTCAGAACCAAAATGTCGGCACGGTGCAAGGTATCTTAGAGTCGTATTCCAGAACTCTACTCAATACTCAAGTCAGGACTTGAGTATTGTAGCGAGCACTGAAAATCATACTCAAGGCCTTACCGTTACGGTCGTATTTCCAGTGCTTGAAATCATACTCAAGTCTGCTCAAATCCTGACTTGAGCATTGAGTAGAGTTCTGGAATACGAGCATCAGAGCAGCGACTGTACCGGCAAGAACTTTAATTTCTAATTTACGAGCATTTGTAAAGGTTTAGGAATAATACCTCTCGTTAAAACGTTGAAGGAAAACCTGCATGTCGAAGATGGTTCACACAACCCAAAAGGTGAAGTCAAGTAAACACTGTC